GATATAAAGCAGAAAAGGATTTATTTAGCTTACAGAGTAATAAAGCCAGAAAGTATCAGGCTTCTAAACTGAAATATTATCTGTACTTTTAGGGCACTGTAAGCACAGAGCAAAGCTGAGGAATTTGGACACTGAACAGTCCAGAGGATGCTCTGACAGGAACTCAGCTGCTTTGTATTTTTCAAAGCTACCCTCTTCACTTCCAATACCATACAGATAATGTATAGCTGCTTTTATGGCCACTATAGTGAGGCTTCTGAGCCTGCCTGTCATATCCATCTACATCAGCATCACAGCTCCTGGACAGGGGATTTCTTTTCCAACCTCTCTAAGTGCTTTTTGGGCATCTTTCAACAGGGAGTTTAGAAGGAGAGCAGCACCTCTGCAGCAGAGTCCTGTCAGTGTCAGAAAGTTTTCCTGACTGCTTGCACATTTCCCACACTTCCCCTGTGCAGCAGGGAGTCCTGAAAATACAATACAGAAGTGAGAAACACAGGCACTGCAAGTCAAGGTTGATTTTTTCATTTTAAAAATGATGGCAAATTTTACTCATAGTGCTTTTTCCAGTTGGTTCCTTAATGGGATTTTATAAGCACAAGAGGGACATGTGTATTAGCTATCAGTGGGTGCAAGTGTATAGACACTGCTCACTAGATCAGTCTCTCGAAGCTGTGAACACTTAAATCCAAATCACTCAAAACCAAAACCCAAATTTTAACTCCCACAGCACTCAGGGTGTAATAGCCAAAAGATGAGAGCTTAGCTAGTGAGTTTAGAACATCTGTGTTTTGCAACTGAATGGTACAATGCAATTTCCAGGTAATTTTGAACACCCACTAATACATATTTAATATTTGGATCCTACACCTGAGACAGGGGAAAAAACAAATTGTAGCTACAAAAGGACACTCTAACACAAACCTCCTGAAGTCCTATCACTCTCCTACAAGTGTTACCACCATCTTCTATGCAATTCTGGAATCCCAGCTGTTCAGAGGAACAAACTCTTATGCATCCCTGACCTTAGTTATGGCCACTTTGGGATCTGTAAGAGTTACTCCTTATCAATTTCCTAGCCTAATGTGTGCCAGGCAGACCTTCAGCTCCTGTTGGGAGCAGCAGAGGTGGAGAACAGGCACCTGAGGACTGCATGGGGTGTCTCTATATGGACTCTTGTGGTTGGGTTCTTTCTCCCCTTGAACTGAAGTTGATGAGAAGGAGGCAGATTTTTCTCTCCTTCAGACTTGGTTGTTTATTCTTCTCTTATCAGCATTACATGTATACAGGGTACAAGGAGCTACAGGCACTAAGATAGAAAGGTGCAAAATGGCCAACAAAGATCTTCTTCAAGGTTTTTTATATGTCCATTTACCCAATTAACAAATGCCAACTAAATTATTTTTCTTAATGACCCAATGACCCAACACTTGTGAGCTGCACTGTGGCATTTTCTATCCAATCACTCATTACTACCCAAAAACCTCTAGGAGAAGAAGATGAAGAAGAAAGAAGAAGGAAAAGAGACAACACCCTAAATTCTCCAGCTTGTCTTCTGTTCTCTAAACTACTTTAAACTCCAAACTTTAACTTTTTCACCCGGTGACTTAAGAAAACTTCCTAATTTACACATTTACACTCCTAGTTTTTCTATTTAACCTTAACAGTTGTTTCATGGTGTTATATGAAATTCAGTGCTTTCTTGGATGTCAGAGCCAGAGATAAGGGCACACTCTCTGTGCCTCGGACTCCAACAATGGGGTAAGAGGCTGGGGGCACCTTCCTAAGGCTTAAACAGGCAAGAGGGTTAAAAAGGAGACAGAGAAAAAATCCAAAGGCTCGACCATTTGACGTTGGAAAGGAGCCTATTTGTTTTTAATACACCAGAGACATAGCTGAAGCATGGAACATGTGTACAATATGAAGTTTTTCTTGCAGAGCTGACCTTGGCAGCAAAGCAACAGACGCCTGAGAGATGACACCAGTTCTGCATCAAATTGCTGTGAGACTGAAAACAAAAGTAAAACAATGTTAAAAGAAAGCTGTCCTCTTTCTCCTCATCTGCAAGGATTTGGAACAGCCCTCCTTAGAAATCAATCTGCAAACGTGTATTCTTACCCACATCAGAAACATCTCACATTTTTGCAATAGGATTTATCATTTTGGGCCATGCTGAGTATGAACCAGAACAGGCTCCAAAATAAAATTATGAATTTGGTCTAGAGATACTTTAGATCATACTATTTAAATTGTTCAGCCCAAAGGTTTCCTACAAAAGGAAGGATCTCATAACAAATATTAAACTTCATTTGGCCACATATTGAAAAAATAAAAAATGTTTCAAAACAACCAAAATAGCGTAGATAGGTAAGGTATGGATCTGTTCTCTTGGCTAGACAAAAATCAAATGTGTTTGCAAGAAATGTAGATTTAAGAAAATAAAACAATTCTGTGTTGTCCTCATACAACATACCTTGCAGTGTCTTACAAATATATTTTAATTATATTCAAAACCATATTCACTGTAGGAAATAGAGAGATAACACACTTCCCTAAGATACTTATTCCTGCTATAAAAAGAAATGAAAAGACCATATGCAAAATTCCTGTCTGGTCTGGCATCTGTATTTCAGGTGCTTGCTATAACAGATTTTGGGGTTAAATTCCACTATTAATTTTATAACCTCCCTTGCCAAAACACAGCATGAATATCAAATATGTATTGCCACATTTTCCTCATTAATCTTTCAACACAAGCAAGCCATTGATGAGACACAGTGAGAACTCAACCCGAGGTAGCACAAGCTGGTAGCTCCCAAGCACAGGATGTGATCTAGCTGGAACAGGCAGGGCCATTTGATACCAAATTCCAGGGAGATAACACTGACCCAGAAGTCTGAACACAGGAATGGTATTTTTAGTTGCAGACCAAGAAGCTGGAGGTTCAGAGTGACCTTGCAGCTCTCTGTGATGCCGTGGCACAAGCAGCAGCTTCACCAGAACATCTCCCAGCAGCTGGACCAAGCACCCAGAGGGGGGGAAATACAGGAGGACAGAAAATCACCCAGTGTTCAGGCACATTGGAACTGCCTTTGCTGATCTTTTGAAATGTTATTTATTTTTCTGTATCAGTTTAGTATGAAACATCCCAAGAAACTGATGTTCTTAATTTAACCACAAAACAGAAACACACTGCTGGACACAGAGTCTGCCTGAAGTGAGGGAAATGTGTTGGAGGAATAGAGATTTCTCTTTCTGTATGCACTGAGCACTTGAGAAATCACCAGCTCTTGTGGTAATCAAACCATCCTGCAGTATCAGGAATTTGCACACTGGATAAGCCTCCACATAATTTGAAAGTTTTATCACTTCATTAATAACTTGATTCATTATATGCAGATAAATGAATACATTTACAGGCTTCAAAATCAGGCTCCCCTTTTGATAAACACTCAATATTCATTCTCACTCCTATTATTTCCCTTTGTGAAGCGCTTTGCTCCAAGGGCAGAGATGACAGAATCTGTCCCACTGTAACAACCTGTTTATTGTCAAACAGAAGGAAATCTAAAGGATCCCATTTTACAGATACTGAGGCAGAAAGGGTATGTCATTTGACAAATTACACAGAAAGCAGGAGAAAAAGGTGAAAATAAATGGCAGTTCTGCTGACATCTGGTTGAGTCTGTGCAGCCTTCCCCAGCTGATAACAGCCAGATCTGTTCTGGTAGCTGGAAACAAAACCTCCTGCCCACTAAGAAATTATCAGGAATCATGAGTTGATTTCTTATCACAAATTCAATATGAATAAACCATTTGTTATTGTTAATGTTATTTGTGTCATCATGGCTCCCACAGAACAAAAATCCCATGACACTGAGATCATGGGAAAGATTGAAAATAACTCCCTTCACAAGCGAATCACAAAACTGGAATCTGCAAAATGTCTTTGAGGAGAGACCATTTCATATTTAAATTATAAAATGTTCTCTCAGAAAAATTGGATATCTAGAACAGTATCCTTGGCAAAATTGTTATTTGTAAATATCACAAATGATGCAATCTAGCTGGGAAATAATAAATTAAAACATTTTTAGTTTTGCTGTAACCCTTAAGGTGCACTTGGATTCATTTTTTATTTTTTTCTCTCAGTGAGACCTAATGACTCCACAAAAGTGAAGACTGAGATTCTTCAGGGTCTGAAGTATCAAATGAAAGTTTGAGAATGAAGCTGCAGCAATTAGTAGTGCTGATTTCATAATTTCAATGTTTCTGGCCAAACTGAATGGTGGCTGTGAAAGCAAGCACCACTGGGGCAAAGACAGTCTTTGTTTTCTCTCCTAAACAATCATAGAAATACCAACAGGTAAAGTTCTCCTGTTGGCCTACTCCAAGGCAGAAAAATAACTGCAAAATAAATGCAACAGTAGTTGTGGGGTCAATATTTGGTTGTTTTTGCTTAACATTTCCCCTTTATTTCCTCCTCCTCATTAAAAAGAAAAGGAACAAACTGGTGGCTGCTGCATGGATCAGGTGATCTTCAAGCTGGTACCTGACTCCCAGCATTGCCTCACCACTTGGAACACTGCTGATTGCTTATAAAAGAAAAATAAATCTATTTTTCTGCAAGAGTCCCTTCACACAATGTAGGCACTCTACTGCAAATGTAAATCTTGCATCAAACAAACTTGCTTGAGCAATCTCAGCATGAATCACCAGCTGCAGGGGATTATCTCCATCAGAAGATGTGCAAAGGAAGAAGAGGCCATTTCTTAAGGGAGCTGAGTATGTAACATAAATCTTTGTCTGTAATGAAAGATTTACTTTATAATTCAAATCAACTCAGTTCTACTGGAAAAGAAGCTATTTCACAAGAAAGTTCTGCAGGTGTGTCAAAAACCACTTAAATCCGGGAACTTTTAACAAGAGCATTTATTTCCATCATGTCTGACAAAAGTATCTCAAAATAAGCAACATAATTTTTTAAAATTATTGTGCAAATACATTTCAATGACAGCAGGTTTGCTCATTCGTGATTGTAAATAAATCTGAGTAACATTAACTCACAGTTCTGTTTCTGATACTGAAAAAAGAAAAAAAAAATTGTATCAGAAAGATGAGTGGAACATTCCAGGGGGAAAACAGGTAACTTTGGAAAGAAGACAAGGTTTTATGGTTCAGGACTGCTGAGTGTGTGACCTCCTTGAGGAGATTACCCAGTAGTGAAGCCCCTCTGCCAACACCATCTGTCTTCAGCCTTAGTGTACTTTGTCCTGGACACTCTGAGCTGCTTTTCTGAGAGGATGCAGCTCTTTAGCTATAGTGCAGATAGCGATGCTCTGCCAATATTAAAGAGATTAAAACTTGCTGATGGCTTTGAAGATTAGCATCTGACCTTCAAACTGGCAGACAGAGTAGACCTGAAGCTAAAAAGATCAGACACAAAATATCTGTAGCTCCTAATCCCCCTGAAAATAAAATACTGCATTCTCCAGCATAAACCCTGGTGTTGTCTTTACCTTTGGTAACTGATGGGCTGCTGGAGTCAGGATCTCTTCTGGCAGGATACCAGGAAATGGGATGGAGATTAAGGATGAACTTTGGCCATGCTGCTTCTGAACTTAATGAATTGGCTAATATTTCTGATCACATCAACATCTGGATGAAAGGAAGAAAATATATTCTAACTGAACAGATTGCTCTGGGAGGCAGCTACTGTTATTTTGGCACGGCACACCATTAATCTGAATAACTGGTTCTTCATTCAAGCATTAAATACTCTGGAATTTTTGACACTGAATCCTTCTGTGGAAAATTACATATCCAAACAATCATACTTGATGTATAGCAGGTATCACTCCATTTTCCCCAAGTGGTATCATGTAACTACTGAGGCAGGATTTCTGTCCAGGGCAATTTGGCAGAAAAGGAATTCTTGCTCCTTACTGATCTCACAATGCTTTAGACAGGGCGTGCTGGTTTTGGCTGGGGTAGAGTAAATTTTCTTCTCAGTAGCTGGTATGGGGCAGTGTTTTGGATTTGTGCTGGAAACAGTGTTGGTAATGTAGAGATGTTTTAGGTACTGCTGAGCAGGGCTAGCACAGAGCCAAGGACGAGCAAGCAGCTGTGTGGCGCTTGCTGCCTGCCTGGGTTTAAACCACGACAGAGGGAATGAATGACTCCCATGGAGTGGCCAAACTCTTCATTAGCCTGTCCCACTTTGTGCTGCAAACAGGTTTTCTGCACCCATGGTTAGAAATTCCATCAAAATGCCATCAAACATTTGAGTATTGACACACAGGTTCCATACTGTGCCACAGGGAAGTCTTGCCCTTCTATCTTATCAATATCCAGTTAATCCAGCAGCAGAAATATTTGCAAGCCTTACTATTTCCTGAGAATGATTTTTGTCTAAAAACAGGAGGATGAAATACTGTGATAAGTGGAGAGGCTTCCAGTATACACTGTTATCTTTAGGCTCCTATTGCTTCCATGAAATTCATGGTGGACTTATTTCTCTGAGGGAAGCTTGTGATTTCCATTAATAAATACGTGCTTCTTTGGCAGTCAGAAGCCACTCCAGGCTAGTTTTGCAGATTGTCGTGTTCTGGAGCCCATATGTGACAGGTTTGTTGTGTGTGTAAAAGTAATTTGGAGAGGTGGGAATCCCCCATCCCTGGGAGTAGCAATATTGTCTATAAAACAGGATGCAACAGACAGCCCACGTATGATTGCTGGGTTGGATTGCACTAGGTTTGGTTTCTGCTTTTATTGCACCATCTTTTCTTCAATTAACTAAGCTTTATGTAGTGATTTAATCTACACAATAAAGATCATGGAAATAGAAGTAAGTGCTCAATCTACTTTCAGGTATCACCTTACAAATGCCCAGTGGATTTACTGGAAACAAATGGAAATTTCAGTTACCACTAGAAATAGGCTTGATTTTTTTTTAGTCACTGCTCAATAATCATATCCAAGCTTATTGGAAAAGACTTATATTTATTTTATAAGTTGTTTAAAAATCTGGAATACCATACATTTTCCCCATTATTTGGAATTATTTTAATTCCAGGGCTGGAAATCACTTAACTGCCAGGAGCAGCTACATGTCTTTTGGGAAGCAGCTAATGCATGTGGAATTTCTGTAGAAGGGATAATAGTATAGAAACTTCCTTCAATCCTGGATGGAGTATAATAAAATATTTTGGTAGAGTAATGCATTTGTGATGAAATTACAAACATTAGTGTCAAGTCTCCACTCAGAGGAGGTATGAGAGCAGCAAGAGCTCGACTGCAAGACCCCACATTTCCCTGCAGTGCCCCAGCAAAGACTTTGGTCCTGTTTCTTTGCCTTTCTGTCTTAACTCTCAGCTGAGATTGCCCACAAAACACCCAGATAAAATTACTTTCTGCTGGCTCCCTGGCTCCCTGAATAAATGCCACCCAATCAAAGAGGTCAGGGTGTGTAATCACTGCTAACAGCCCGTTCTTCTCAGTCCATTTGCTTCCTAAGTGAAGTTGGTGGAAGATGCTTCTGGCAGGATGTTGGAGGGTGCTTCAGAATCCTGAGCTTACCGATGCCTTTGGTCATTTCCTAGGGTCTAACACGAGATAACATAGCACCTGTGAAATGCAAAGCCAACAAGAAGAGAAAAAAGGACCTGGCTGAAGACAAAATTTGCATCCTGACTTTTCAGGTCTCTGCTCTTGGGAGTGTGTGTGAGTTGGTGGTTCAGGTAAAGCTGTTTAATATGGAAGAGAGTAAGCAGGTCACAAACACAGTGCTGGGAAAGCCACTGAATGACCACAATGAATTTTTTTGCATGATAATGAAGAAATAATGAAGAAAAGTAGGCAAAGGACATTTAAGATGACCCTCTGTATGAAAATATCAAAGGAACATCAGAAATGCCCATGAAGACACACCATAACATTGCATCATTTGTGACACAGAAGCTGAACTCACCTTTTAAAGAAAATGACTTTTACTGCCTCCTTCTACTGACTATACGAACACTTGGATACCTGGTGGTGATACAAATTAATCCAAATCTGACCTTGGTCAGAGGGTATGGCAAACCCAGGAAAAAATAGCATTTGTGTCTCATCCTAACTCCAGAGCAGAGTTCTTCTTGCAGAATACTAAAGGGATCCACAAACTTTTCTTCATCAGTCACAACAGTGGCTGCCAATGGCAGTGTCAGATCTCATTTCATTTTGCATTTCTGTGCCACAAATGTATGTCCTACACTTTGGGAACTTTCACACTACACTTGCAAAACATGGGCTGAAAAATCACTTTCCCCATAATAGTCAGAAAAATCTGCTGTTTAGCCAGAGAAAAATTTCCACTGCTGATTGATTCCTAGGTCTGTTTAGCTGATTATAATTCCCCAACCTACCCTTATGTGATTCACACCCATACATCTGCTCTAGCTTCAGCATATAATTGTTATTCCATACAGACAGCCCAGTATTTATTCAAACAAGGGTGCTCTTGTGCATTTCTCCTTTTTTAGCTTCTCTAAAAAGAGTAAATCGGTCATGATACATTACATTGTATGTGTGTGTTTGTGCATGGGAATAAAAAGTAATTTTATCATCCTCTCAAAGGCAGCAGTTGATTACCAAGACAGAATAATTAAAAGAAGTATGTTAAATGGACTACTGTACATTACATGAGAGACAGGGCATTGCAGCATTCTCTAAAATACTGTGGCTAGATAAAAACAATGATTGTTTCTGTTATTTTCCGACATTGTTTTCTATATTATAAAACAAGTATTTGCTCTCTTGCAGATCTGTTGCTTCAGTACAAAAAATCTAGGCCATGACTCTGTGACACTGCAAGTCTTTGACTCCAATGTTATCATTTTGTCCTGGGAGAAGCAAAGAAGATGCTGGTGGAAAAAGCAAGTTGGTACTGCTTGGATTATCTTCATAAAAGAAGCTGAAATGAGATTTAAAACATTTGTGCTCTGCCAGAGTCAGCTGATTTGGCTCTCAGGAGTTTGTATGAGCTGTTGGTTCAAGGGGTTTTTTGGCTTGTGCCTGTGTTAGGACTTGGGAGAGTTCAATGAACCCAGCTCTCAAAGCAAAAATATTTAACCTTCATTTTCTAGTGGAAATGGGGTTTAAAAGCTAAATTTAGTTTTCTGGAAAATATTTTAGAAGTAATCTTAGACTCAATTAACTTGTTTAGTGAAAACAATCCAAATATAGACTTCAAGAGTTGGAAGTTTGGCTTTTGGTTTAATGCATTACACAAGTAGGGATCGACTTGTAAAACACTGCAACTACAAGCTTAATGCCAATCATGTGGTATCTGGATGTGGAACCTGAGCTACTTTCAGTAACATCCCTTAAGACAAAAGCAAAGCACTGTGGTTTTTTTTTGGGTAGAAATATGAAGATTCTCATCAAAGGAATTAATAGAGGTTTCATCTTGAAACCTTTGTGCTTCCTATCTCTTTTCCAGGGTTCTCGCAGTCAGATCAAGAGCCGATGAAAGCATTATGTTTGTTTTTATCTACTCAATCTCATTACAGCTCTGAACAAACACCCAGTAACTGTGTTCTGCTTCAGACTCACTTCCCTTTGAGTACTCTGCGTTTCACAAATGGAATCAAACCAGCAGCTGCCACTCCTGAGACCAAGAGACGCTCAGGCAGTGAACCGAAAGCTTGCACAGAAAGCCAAAACCCAGCTTTATCTGAGTCTGCTGCATTGTCATCAACTTCTGCGGGAGAAAAGGGGCGAAAGGAACACATGAATTTAGTTAGCAAAGCATTTGCAAAGCAGTAAGGATAATGTCCAGCAAACCAGCTGCGGCTGCCACGGAGGAGCTGAAAAGAGGCAGGAAAGACAGAGAAAGTCGAGAGAGGTATAAAAGCCTGGTTAGGAGCCCCAAGGTAAAAGCCTGAAGCCCTTCTGGAATGCAGGGTTACTACAGTTCCTACAGTGCCCAAAATATTTCGCTTCCATCAATCCACCCAGCTGCTGTCAGCAGAGCTGCAAATGCTGGTGATCTGACAGATAAGGTGGTGATGGGACATGCAGAACAAATCTGGATTTTTCAGTAGGATGAAATGAATATACTAATATATAGCTTCAAAACTTTCTGCCAATGTATTTTAACTCTCAGGAGAAGAAGGAAGGCCGTTCAGAGGATGAGATTTAACTGCACTTGGCCTCTCCTGTGATGCTGTCAATAGCAGGGCTTTGACAAAATAACAACAGGTTTTGGTCTTTTGAGTTGGCACATATTTAACTAATGATCTGCAGACAGAAATCTCTGTAGCTCTTGCCAGCTGTAGCAATAAGCCCATTCCCAGGTGCTGAGCAGATTTTTAATGGACATTTTATTTTTTTGATTGTTACACTACAATGTTACATGCAGTTAAATTACTCATGTGGTTTCCGGAGGTTACCAGCCATTACTTTCCAAACTCTGCCCCCATTGTCCACTTCACATATGATTGTTTGTTCAGGGCCTCCAATAAGTGAGATACTAGAAGCATATTTTTGATAATAGTGCTATATTCACATCAATTATTTATAGGCATATTATTTATATAAAAATGCCAGCTGAAAATGCCGGATATACTACTGTGACACACAGCTTTGCCTGTAACCTGTTTGCAGCTGTCAACTCTTAAGTGGTCACAATGTTCAAGGGATTTGCAGGAGCTGTAGAGTGTTACTGACTCTGTAAAATGACTTTTTTTTCCTTGCCAGAAAAATTCCTTCCCTGTGCCTGATTAAATTCCCACACAGCTCCTCTTTAGTAAATCAAGAGTGCCCCAGCTATCTCAGGGAGTGTCTCTCAGGTGCCAGAATACACCGCTTGCTTCGGATTTACTGTCTTTACAAAGATGGAAATCACGAGGACAAAAACGGAGGTAAAGGGTTCGTTTTAAAACCGGGGTGGGGGAGATGGGGGGAGAGAGATGACAAAGCAGAACTAGAGAGTGTTGTCCCGGCTGACACAGAACTGGATAGCTCTGCTCCAATACTCTTACAATGAATTCCTAGGATATGCTCCGGTGTTCAGAGCCAAGTACTCGGTTTCCATAGAAATGGAGTACTTTGAGATAACGCCTAAGATTAACTGTTAATGACTTTTCCTTACGTGGCCCAATACTTCTGCCCTTAGAGTCAGGCTTTGTTGTTAAACTTCAAAGGCTCTTGATGGGTGTGAAGCTGTCTTGAGAACTTGTTGATTTCTCCCCGCTTCATGCTCAGCCAGCTGATGAACCTGTAACTATAAGCAAAGATGGTATTTTCACCTGGAATCAAGCAGTAAGGTGCCCACAGATTATTTCTTCTTCTATTTTTGCCTGGTCTGAGAGCGAGCCACCTCTAGCCCAAGTCTAAGCTGCTCTGTCATACGAAGCTATTTATGTATCTATATTAAATGCTATATAAAACCTGGGTCATACCGACATTCACATGCAAATAAGATTCTTGTTTTTAGCATCCGAAATGGCAGGTGACCCATTAAAGACTGGGTTGGGCGTGGCTGTGATGTGAACTAAAGCCTCCTTTCACCTTGTCAAGCTGTTTCCTGTGTCATCATCAAGAAACAAAAGGAAATAAACGTGAAATGCACTTTTGGGAATCCTAGTCTGTATTTTACACGTCATAGCGATACGGCTGTGCAGCACCAAATGGGAAAGTTTCACAGAAACCTAACTGGCAAATCACTGCACTAATGAAATTTTCAAATATTTGTATAAGCATCATGAGTAAAGTTCTATTCAAGAGTAATGAGGGTAATTCCTATCTTTCTGACTCACTCCACCATTAAATATTTTCAGTTCCTTGCAGTTATATAATTGTTATGCATCTTGGGAAAATAATCTTTGTTCCCCAAAATCTCAGTAATAATAAAAACCCCTTTTCAAATATTTGTATTCTCTCTCCTACACATAAAAGCATGGCCATCATCTTCTACCATCAGTGCAATTAATTTCTTTCAAAGTTTGATCATGGCAAAAGACCAAACCCCACAACTGTAGTTACTCCAAGCATGATACCATGAGCCAAATTAATCCATGATCTAATGATGATGACATTGGTGGATCCAGTCCAGAGACAAATGTAGCTTAAAGTTGTTTTAAAATGGAACATATTCTCAAGTCTCAGAAGAGCAATAATATTTCTTTAAAAGTTGAGATTTTTATGGCCAGAGGACAGAGAGAATAATATGAATTGCTGTTTATGCAAAGGAATTTTATAGAGCCTAGTATTTTTTTTTTAAAACAACACATATATATGTCACACATGAGTAGTCTTTCTTATCTTTTTCTTGCTATCCTCTATTTTCAAGCTCACCTATTTTTCTGGTGTACCTTAAAAGGGACACACAATCTAGTACGTAGTAATTTCCATCATGAAAAAAAAAAACCCCATTCTATTTTTTCAGAACTAAATTATTGTGCAAGCAGTAGCAGAACGACATTGTTGTGTTCCTGTTCTCTGCAGTGCCAGACTTGCTCTCATAAACCAGCAAATATCACGTTGCCTGGTGAAGAGAGGCTCACAGTCAAGTTACAAACGAAATCTATTTATTTAGAAATTAAGTATTTTACACCACTATTATTGGTACAAAAACTGCACTTGCAAGTGACTCCTAAAAAACAGAATCTGAAGAAAATCTGCAGGATTGTTTAGAAAGTGATTAGAAAAGACTTATCAACAAGCCTGACTGATGTTACCTGGATCTTTTCATCAAAGCTTTTACCCCTGAAAAATCCCAATGTCTTTTCTATGTCAGATCAGTTCAAATGCATAGTAGGACTGTCTGCTACAGATGATTTTCAGAGGTTAATGTTTGAATTAGTCTTTTAGAACAGTGGGTATAAACATCTTGCATTGTGAAAAACATCTTCCAAGTGAAAACATCAAAGCAGCCTACAATTCTGAACCAGCTCAGCTAAAGCTCGTTCCTGTAAATTTGTCTTGCTGTTTCTTCCAGTACAGTAAGCTCACAGAGAGGTATTATAGTTGTGATGATCCTTAGAGAATAAGAATTTTGCTAAGCTGTTTCCTGGAAAGCAAGTAAACTGACAGGCAATTTTAATTCTCCTTTAGCAGAGCTTTACAATTGGATTCGGTTTTATTATGAATTGAAATTCTTTTTGCAGAGGTAAATGTTTATTTAGCTAGCTTGAGATATCAAGTGGGTTGAATATGAGGCTTGAAAAGCAGCAGCAAAATATTATTAGGTGTATTTTTACTTTACATTCCTGTATTTCCTGAGGGTTACCTTTAGCAACACTGTGTTCTGAAGACATCTGGATAGATCAATGAATCATTTCCTTCTCATCTCTCCTCTCTATCTGGCCAAAACTACCAACTGTTACCTCTCAAAAGACAGAAAGGGACCTGAAGACTGAGGAACAGAGAAACTATTACGGCAGAGATTAAACATTTATCATTCTGTGGTTGGTGCATGCTCTGAATGTGCTGGATCCCTGCCCTCCAGACAGATGGAAAAGCTCCTGACAACGTTAGGAGCAATGTTCTTCTCATAAGAGCAAATAATTTTGAGATTCTGGCACTAACATGATGGTTAAAGAATAATCTTATATGTGACCTCACCAGGAAAAAAGGTACAAATGCAACTGTGAGGTACAGAATTGATAAATCTCCCATTTCCCCTCTATCTATCTATCTATCTATCTATCTATCTATCTATCTATCTATCTATCACACACAAACTGTACTACCAAACTTGCAAGGAAAGGCAATGGATCCCCAGTTTCTACCCAAATGCTCTCAGGATACACTGTAGAAGTCTGTCCTACCACAAACACCCACCACAAGAGTGTCTGTGGTCCAGCACTCACATTCCCCAGATGCATGTTAAAAGAAGCTACAGGAAACTGGAAAAAATATGGTCACTTGCTGTGAAAAGCTGATGTAGAAAGGACTCCTTGACTAGAGGCATATTGATGTATTATTTGTGAAATATGATTACATCTGCCTTTTATCTTTCATCTTGTTACTCAGTGATAATTGACTGCTCAAGGCTGGCACTCATTTTTAATTATCCCCGCTGTGGAAACCCAGCTCTGCAATTGCTCTCACGTATCTGCATGCAGCATCTGTAACACATCATCCTTCAGCAAACAGCAAGTCCTCTGCTTTTTATTTCTTTCATTTTTTTCCCTCCCTAAATTAGCTGTGCAGATTAATGCAGGGCATTTCCCAAACAAACAAACAAAAAATCAATCAACCAACTGAGAAAACCCCCAAAATAAAAGAACAGAGGTAGAGAAATTAACTACACTGAATGTTTTGCTATTCATTAAAATAACTCATATTTGAGGTCTATTAACAAAGCCCTGCTGCTGTGTCTTGGAGATTTCCATTTACCTATTTAGCTAATTAATTTTAGAGAATTAAGCATTTAGTAACTTGTTGAGTGCCGTGCCCACGCAGATGCCAGGCACAAATTGAAATAACCATCACTAGGTCAGCTCACAGTTGGAGCTCTGTTAGTTTTACTGCACTAATAAATACGTAAGGAGCTCCACTCAGTGGCGAGACAATGTATTTCTGACTGTGACACCCACAAGAGAAGAAGTGAGTCTTTGGAAATGTAAATATGTATAATTAACACATCTACTTCATTGACTCTCTGCATTATTCATTGTAATCATAGCAACAGAATCATAACGTTTCACTAGGATAGCTTTATTTATTGCCAGCAACATTTCTGAGAGAATTCAATCACAGGAACAGGATACATAATATCTGTGTTTAAAACAACAAAACTCAGTATTACCTTTTTTTTTTTTTTAAGGTTGTTAAACTTCCATTTGTAAATAATAACTTGTTTTCATCTTCTTTTTCTTGTACCATGTCTAGAATTTCTTGAAAACTGAAGCCTATTTCACAGTTCCTACCTCCTTTAAAAAATTCTGTATTAAGCAAAGCAGGTACAGAGAGTTGTGCCCTCTGAGGGCACAAAATCAGTGTATTTTAAAAGCAAGCATTTTCAGACTGTGGGGGAATAAACTATTTCAATGGAGGTGCTACCAGGAAGAAAGTCTGAGACTGCTGCTAAAAAACCAATCTGATTTCAGGATCTGAATCCTGAGTTAGGCCTAGCACCAGCTTTGGAGACTTTAAGAAAAAATGTAGACAGGTTTATTTTCAAAATTAATTCCATATGCCCTTAGTCATATTTTCCAATACCCTGTAATTCTGCTTGGCCTAGTGGGATGTTTAGATTTCATAGGTTTCATGTCTCCATCATTTTTCTTCTTTTCTGATTTTCAGCTACTTACTGGCAAATTTGAAATATTTCTGCCTTTCTCTGCCCATTATTGATTTTGTGTCTTCCTAAGTGGATGTCATAAGGTTTGTGCAGGTGGAAAATCAACAGAAGACAAAATGAATCACAGCTATGAAATCATTAAAAGTAAACTTCCCCAAACACAATCTTCCCATACTTTCTGTTTCTCAACCTTGAATTCTAATCAGGTAATTTAAGGTTTTCTTTGCACCAACCCTTAGGATTATTTTTTTTTCCACTGAAAAAGTTGACAACATTAGTTACCAGAAGAATTTTAAAAAATAGAAACCCCAATAGCATTTCTACCAAGGAGACATAGCCCTATGCTTAGATAAGATTTTGAAAAATGAAAATGTAGAAGTAATACATTTTTGTTTGGAAAAAATCCAGGGAAGTTTAAAGACACTGGAAATGTCCATGTAGTTTCTCCATGGAGAAACTGTTGATCCACAGTGTCAGTATGCCTGAAAATGAGTCATGAAGTTATAAAATCTTTAGGAGTCACTTCTGAGAACCCTGGGATGAGAAATAAAATACCACAAGAATGTGAAAAACAGTGCCTTATCTTTTAAATGAAGCTGTGGAAGTCTGCAGGCAGCTCCAACTTCAATTTTTGGTTAATGATTTAAATACTTTTCCTAGTTGTAAGGCTTAAGAGAAAAAGGAGATGATTAACTGTCAATCATTCTGATTCTGAGAAACACCACTCCCCTCATCTTTGAGTAAGGGTGGTGACACATTTTCAAATGCCATCCTTAGACGCTTCTGAGGGCAAGTCCAGACACCACCAACAACTCGTCTTTGGCATAAAAATGCCCAAGCAGACGGGTGCTGCTGTGTATCCCTGAAATCCCCACGTCCTTCAGGGCTTTCCTATCGCCTTCCCAGCTGGAAAGGCTGATCAGGTTCCTCAGTGAGCTGTGGGGAGAGCCTGCCCTGCAGGAAAAGCAAGGCTGCCTTTTGGCAGGAGTCACTTGCTGCAGGTTTAGGAGTGAGCACCGCACTGAGGGACCTTGGTCACAGCCCTGGGACCACCT